CTCTCTCTCTCTCTCTCTCTCTCTCTCTCTCTCTCTCTCTCTCTCACACACACACACACACACTCGAGCTGGCATCCCACAGCGCAGCAGTATACTGCCACTAAGGGCGGCGGTGGGGCGGTTCCTCTCTCGGCGCCGAGCCGTCTGCCGGGTTCCCGACACTGGCTTTTGCCCCCTACTCTGCCGCCCTAACCCAGGAGCAGGTCGAGTGCTGGGAATTAATTTCCGGCTGGTCCTCGCCCCGCCCCCCGCCGCCGCCGCCCGCGCCTCGTACGCCGCGGAGGCGAGAGAGCGAAGAGACTGGGAGTGAGAGAGAAGGAGAGGGAGAGAGGCTGGGAGCGTACCCGCCGAGTGCCTGGCCGGACTTGTTATCAGAGAGAGCCTCCTCGCCTCGGAAGGCACCCAATGTACCGCCATAGTTATGGCAATTTCTCCGATTGCGACTCGCGCGCGCAAGTCCCGCGCATGCATTGCGATATGCCTTCTACGCCGCGAGACGCTCGGTTTTAACATTTTGAGAGCTTGCACGTTTATATTCGCGAGCGCAGAAAACGGAGGGGGGAAATGTAATGCAAAGTAGCTACTGCAGGCTGACATTATTCCACACACACATACACAACACACACACACACGTCTGTTTTTGTACCTTGTTGAGTTTTAGTTTTGACGTGAAAATGCCTCCTCCCCTACCCTCGGGCCGTACCCGCCATGCCTGCCCAACTCACGCGGTGCTGAACTAACTTTTCTCCCGTTTCGCTTTCGTGTTGCAGGGCTCAAGACTATTATCAACGCGCTGCTGCACTCCTTCAAGCAGCTCGCGGAGGTCATGACCCTCACCATCTTCTGCCTCATGGTCTTCGCCCTCTTCGCGCTCCAGGTGTACATGGGGGAGCTGCGGAACAAGTGCGTGCGCAACATCGAGGCCGACAACGTGACGGCTGCCGACTGGAGAGAGTGAGTATCGCGTCCCGTCGCCCGGGCCAGCCCAGCGGCCCCCCTGTGGCCAACTCTGGGCTGTGAACCCCCCGCTGGCATCCTACAGTCTGGCACCTCCGAGACCTCCAGGAGGACAGACACCTCCCAGGCACCCCCTCCCCACCCTGACCCTCAGTGGCCTCCAGGGAATCCTCCCCTCCATGGCACCTCCAGGGCACCTCCTCCACCTCCACCGCTCTTCTAGAGCACCCAGGGCCAGGGCACCCAGGGCCAGGGCATCACCAGGGCAGCCCTAGGGCCAGGGCACCCAGGGCCAGGGCACCACCAGGGCAGCCCTAGGGCCAGGGCACCCAGGGCCAGGGCACATCCAGGGCACCCCCAGGGCACCCCCAGGGCACCCCCAGGGCACCCCTAGGGCACCCCCAGGGCACCTCCGGGCCAGGGTACCACCAGGCCAACCCCACTGCGCCTCCACCACAGGGTATTTGACCGCTCCTCTCTTTTGGAGAAGAAAGCGAGTCTACGTCCTCTCTTCTCTCCTTTGCCCGCCCTTTGACCCCACCACACCCCCTCTCCTCTCGGTCTCTCCCCGGGGGGGCGGTGTATCTCCTGGCTGCAGGTTCCGCTGCGCCCAACCCCCGCACCTCAGCGATCCTCCACCCCGATCCTCCATCCTCCTCGCGGCCCGGACCGCGTTACATTCCGCGAGCTGGCTGCTGCGAAAAAATGAAGCAGAAACGTTAAACCAATCGCCGCCATCTTTTAACGCGTTAAGAAAGGCATCGACCTTGTCCGGGCCGTAAAACAACACATAAAACTCTGAGTTCTTAGACCAACTAACTAATTTGTACTTCATCCCTTGATTTTTTTAAATTGCACACGTTTTGATTAAAGTTTTAGGCTTTTGAAAAATCAAGGATCAAGGCCAATGTACTTGGTCTAACACAAGGACTCAGTTTTGGGGGGTGAAGAGTGTTAACTTGCCCACTATATCGCCATCTCCATGTCTTGTGCCCTCATTTGTTATTTGAAGCAGTATCCTTACCCACCCCAGTCCTCGCCTCGGCCGGACCGCGCCGCAACCCCTCCCACCTGTACAAACACACCCCTCTTCCCCTCCCCCCTCTTCCCCCGCGCTGGACGCGGCGTGGCATGGCGTGGCGCGCGCAGTCCCCAGGCGGTCTGTACGTGCAAATGACCCGATACTGCCACGCTCCGCCACGTCCGCGTTGGGATCCGAGGGAAAAGCAAGGGGGTGTGGGGGGTAGCTCGGGTGGGCGGCCCCACCCGCGGCACCGCGCTTAGTCTGCGCGATCGTCGATGACCCCATGCCCGCCCCGCGAGGCCCCGCAGCGGCGGCGGTGGCCCGCTCTGCTGCTGCTGCTCTGCTATCCGATCGGCCGACGGCAGCGCTTTTCTCTGCAGTCCGCGACGGCGCGCCAAATATGATGACCGTTCAGATTAGCTCCCTCGGACAACCCTTCCTCGTTAATGGGCCGAGCGCACACCACTCAGACGGGCCCCTCCTCCCTCCC